TCAGGCCTGGGTGGCAGGCGTGCACCCGACTCCTCTGCATGTCACATCCAGGAGAGGCAGGATCCACAGGGAGCTGGGCTCTTGTACCCCGGCACGGCGACCCGTGCACAGATGAGGGGCAGGAAAGAAGGCCTGTGCTTCCAGGCACAGGGAGCGTTTTCCGGAAGGCAGTGCCAGCAAATGGGCAGGAGGGCTTGCCATGGGCCATGATGACTCTGTGGAGACACGTTGACAGTGGCCGCTTCCCCATGACAGAGTTGCTCAGGAGATGGGCAGAAAGCCTCTGAGGCCCTCCCTGAGGAGGAGCCAGCTGCAGCCTTACCGCATCAAGTGCCTGGGAGACCGTGAACAACCTCTCGCAGAGGGGAGTTTGGTCGCGAGCAGCGGAGTGGGGAGGCACATGCTAATTCGGGACCACAAGCTAGGAGGAAGGAGAACAGCCTCTGCCTTTGTGCTGAGGTGAAAGAGGATGAGCAGTGAGGTGTTGCTGAAGTCAGCATTGGCAAAGTGCACTCGACTGGGGAAAGTGGATGCAGGTGGCGTCTGCCGGGAAATCCTCCGTGAAAGACAGATCACGCAGCCAAACTGAGGTTCGCTTGGGAGAAAGGGGTGGTCCCATCAGCAGCTCTTCGGAAACAAGACAGGGCCCCAGAGCCATCCAAGGAAGCCCCAGAGGGCTGAGCCTCAGCGGGGGTGTGGTGTCTCAGTGACCCCAAGTCACCTGCTGGCCATCCAAGGCGCCAGGGCCCGGGAAGAGGCAGCGTCCCCACTCCCAGTGTGAGAATTTCCCAGAGTTGGTGGTGGGGCCTGGTCAGCACGGACTGTGGGCAGGATGGTACAAGCAGGAAAGCTGCCGCCCACCTGTAACCCCAACTCAGGGGGCAGGGAGGGAAAGGAAAGGAAAGGAGAGTGTGCTGTGTGTGGCGGAGAGCAGGCGGAGGCGGAGCACTGTAGAGACAGACCGCTGCTGCCCAGGGCACAGTGACCCACAGCAGTCGCCTGGGGAGACCGCCCAGGACAGGGCACCGGGCAAGGCAGCTGCACTGCCCAAGGGAAGCACATGTGTTTACTGGGTTTGCCATGGCTCTGAGGACAGGGACCACTTCCGGACACATCACAAACATGCTGGGGACCCGGCTTCCGTGCTGCAGGGGCTCAGGCTTGCTGGGAGGGGTCTGCAACTGTTTGCGAGGCTGTGGCAGAATGAGTTGCCCAGAACCAAGGACTCGTGCAGCACACATGGGCCCTTGCTTTCCTTGCAGGCATGTGGAAGTGTATCCCGAAGGATGGACCAGCAGGGCCATGCCAAGCATCCTCAGCATGTGTCCTGCCAACCCCACGGGGAGGGAATGGAGGGCACCACTGTCCCCTTCCTGGGTCCCATCAAAGGTACTGGGGGCTGGGGGATAGGGAAGAAAGGAGGTTCCCTCAGAGGAAGCAGCAGCCAACCCTTCTCACTCTGCCTGGAAGTAGTGCTTGGGAGGCCCAGGAAAGGGGGACGGC